GTGTGTCAGAGAAAGGAGACATGCAAAATGTGCAGTGTTGGGGTGCCTCCAGGACCAGGGTTGGGAACCACTGGTCTAAGTTATTAAATGTTAGTCACACATACTCATTCCTACACCTTCGTAAATTTGCACACATTTCACGCATTTGTCACTTTCACACTAACAGACGGCGGGTCGCACTACAGAAAGTTTTAATGCTCTTTAATCTCGGTCTTACCTTTTTCAGCATGTGAAACTGTGATCGTGAGGCAGAAAAGAGAGAGGAGCAGCCGGGCTCCCCGCTCCGCCATCACTTTAAACACTAAATAAAAGAAGTGTGAAAAGCCTCGAACACAATCCGTATTTAAAATCCTTCTGACCGCGCGCACGGATCAGTTCAGCAGTGTGAACACATCCGGAACGAGTTATTTCGTATTTTTCTCACTTGGTGGCTAAAGGATTAAAGCACTTGGCAGTGAAACTGGATTACAGGGATTAATACAGGTTTAGAAAATGCTGGCGGAATTAATCTGATCACTGTAAGCACTGAACCCTATTAATTTAAGGCAGATTATTTGGTTGTGGACGGGGACATCATATGTCATATGGACACCAGTGTTTGCTGAATTGTCAGTACTGCAGTCCACAGACTCATCCTGACTGATGCAGGTTAATATATCTTCAACTTCTGTGCCTTTTGTGTTGATGTTTCATCTACTCAAAGTGTTTTTATGTCACTCTTCTTCTTTCCAAAAAAAGTGTCCCAGTTCTCCCAAAAATAAAATGTCTGTCACCATTTACTCACCATCATGTCTTTCCAACACTGTATCACATCCAGGATAAATTTTGAAGGATTTCCAAGCTTCAAAAAGGATGCAAAAGCACTATAATGGTATTATAAAAGAGGTCTCTATGACATTCTGAGTCTTCAGTGTGAGAAACAGACTAATGTTTATGCCATAACTTATGTATAACTCTCCGGTAAGCTATTATCCAGATAATTGCGTTTGATGAACACATTTTACAAAACATGCCACAAAAATCATTTCAAATGAAAGTTTATTCCATTTTAAAACATTAACTATATATATACATATATATACAGTGGGTACGGAAAGTATTCAGACCCCCTTAAATTTTTTATATATATATATATATATATATATATATAGTTCAAAATAAAATGCTTTCTGGTTGTGTTATAAACCACCCCTATACACCTATGATAACTGACTTTATACATCCACTAAACTGCAAAAAAAAAAAAAAAAGCTCTATTTGTTTGCATTTGTAACTTTGTTTGCTTTTGTCATCTAATGCTGTGACATTCAGACATTTCTACTGTAACCTACGTGTGCGAATACTGATTACTGTATATCAAAACATCATGGTATTAAAGTTACTTGATACTTTTATTGTACCGTGGTAAACACAAAATACAGCTTTTAAATTATAATTTTATTTACTGAATAAAAAAAAGTATGGGGGGGGGATGGGTTGGACATGTCCCCCGCACTTTTAGAAAAAGGTGATTCTTTGGGGGTAAAATGCACCCCAGAAAAAAGCAGAGGACGATCACGTCCTTTTTCAAACACTGTAAGTAGGCCTATGTGTTATGTCTCAATGACACGAATCACGCGATCAAATTTCTATGTTATTATTTGACCTAACGGGGCATCTGCACCGGATGCGAGCGATGCGATCATGCGACGCGACAAAATAACCCATTAAGAACGAGGCATGTGACGCGTCACGTCGCGCCGGTATGGAAGCCAAAAGGACCAAAAACACGTGAATTTTAACGCGTCAACAACACGTTAAAAATACGTAATTCACGTGTATTTAACGAGTATTTCACACGTTAAATACATGTTGTTTGCGCGTGAAATACAAGTTAAAAACCAGTTTGAACGGGTCAGTGTCATTGGCTACTGAAGACTTGGATCAAACCATTTCTGTGAGCTTAGGGGGGTGTATCATTCATAGACTAGGCTACCACCATTTAACATGCTATAAATCAGCTTATTCAGCCTATTTATTTTGTCCTTTTTTGTGTTTTTTTATAGCCTATAGAAATAATATATTTAAATTGCAGTTTTATGAAAAATTAGATTTAAAAAAATAAAACATAAAATCGTCTCATGTACAGTATTTGAAAAATAATGTGTTTTTTGAACATTAAAGAATGTCAACATATTCTGTTACACCAAATACACAAAATAATGATCTTTAAAAAAGCATCATATGACCCCTTTAAGATACAGACCGCTGTAATCTATATCAGTCTTTGGAAAACAACGTGAGCTTTTATTGTGCTTACATTTACAGCTGTCGCCAGCAGGTGGCGCTTATTGAAACCTCTTTTTGTTCAGAGATTATGCACTCATCAGACAAACAGTAATTAGGTACACAGATAATGTTATCCATTTAAATGGATTTAAAGACTTTAAGTATTTAAATATGGCATTTAAGCCAGCAGAAAAAACAATCCGCACACGGTTATATGCAGGGCTTAAACCTCCTCAAAAAATCTTTATTGTAATGCTAAATCGGAGGCCGTAACAAAAGTGAAAAGTGCAAAAGTCATGTCAATATGGCATTAAAGACATTATATAAGAATTTCAGGATTAGAATGAGAGCTTGTACTCAGGTCAGAACAGGTATAAGAACTTGATTTGGCTTTCCTGACAGCAGAATTATTCTGCTGTACTAAAGTCCTAGGCCACCCTGAAAATTGGTATTAAAGCAATTTATCTGTGAAATTATGAGGTAATTTGTTAAAGCACTTCATAACATTTAATTAAACATATAAACATAAAAATACTAAGTAGCTCAGTTTTTTTAGAACCACACATATATAGTTTATACCAGGGTTGGCCAACGTTGGTCCTGGAGAGCCAAGGTCCTGCAGAGTTTTGCTCCAACCTTGATGAAAACTCACCTGCCTGTAGCTTCCTAGTAACCCCTAGACCTTGATTAGCTGGTTCAGGTGTGTTTGATTAGGGTTGGAGGTGAACTCTGCAGGACTGTGGCTCTCCGGGACCGACGTTGGCCACCCCTGGTTTATACAGTATCTGCTAATAATCTGGATTGTTACTGAGAAGCTTATTGTACACTTCACAACAGCTAGAATTAATTTATGGCTGATTTTGTGACTGTTTAAATGCTGGTTTAGCAATGTGACAGACTTAATTGACTTACTGAAAGTATTAAAAGGCTAGTACAGAAGACTAATTGTACTGCAAACTGCTCAAGGACCTATACCATGAATGTAGCTTGTTCATACAAATCATCTAAATTATGAAATGTACAGTAGGTCAGTGTGTTAACATATTCATTACTATTTTAAATCAGAATTGATGTCACTGAAAGCTCACATGTACAATAGACCTATAGTACAACAGACTTTCTATTCACAAAACCAGCCTCATGTCGTCTTAGAGCTGTGAATGATTGCAACGTATGTGCAGTCTATTGTTCTTATGACTTTATAGGGCAGGGGTGTCAAACTCAGGTCCTGGAGGGCCACTGTCCCGAAGAGCTTGATTAACTGGATCAGGTGTGTTGGAGCTGGTCTAAAATTATATTTTAACTGTATAACCATTTTTTTTTGCTTACCTTCACTGTATCTGATTTCCCCACACAAATGTTAATGCTTTGATGCTAACTTAAATTTGATCACTATTAAAGCTAGAATGCCCACTAATGTGTTTATTTACAAGAAGGCATGAGTGGAGAAAAATGAGGCAATTTTATTTTTTTCCCCAAATTTTTCATAAAACTGTAATTTAAATATATTATTTCTATAGCGGTACGTAAAAACGGTGTTGCAGAAATGTACGCAGAGGAACGTATTTTTATGAGACTGGGACAAAATAAATAGGCTGAATAAGCTGATCTATAGCATGTTAAATGGGGGTAGTGTTACGGTAATAAACAGAGGATTCAAGCACGAGTGCATGTAAAACAGTTTATTAACAAACTTGCAGGAAACAGAACACAAGGAATGGTTTCACGGGTGCAACCGGAGATAATCCTGGACGTGCTGATACAAAGTTTCATAAATCCACAACAGGAATCCAGTCAGAACGACAGCTACAGTCCAGAGCACAAAACTCTGCCAGGGCTAGACTCCACACCTCTACCACAACGATCTGACAACAAGAGGTAGGAAGCAACTGATTATATAGAGAAGCTGATGAGCCACAGCTGAACCTGATCTACTCATCAGCGAAGGGAACTCACACACACGGAGAGAGATAGAGAGAGAGAGAGAGAGAGAGAGAAAGAGAGAGTCAATGAACCTGCGAACCGTGACAGGTAGCCTAGTGTATAAATGATACAGCCCCCTAAGCACACAGAAATGGTTTGATCCAAGTCTTCAGCAGCCAATGACACTGACCCGTTCAAACTGGTTTTTAACGTGTATTTCACGCATATTTCACACGTATTTAACACATTATATACGTGTTGAGTACGCATATTTAACGTGCTGATTTTTCATGTGTTTCATGTGTTAATCTAAAATTCACGTGTTTTTGGCCCTTTTGGCCTTCCATACGCCGGATCCAGTGTGTGTTGTATGCTCTCCTACTTGTAAGTCGCTTTGGATAAAAGCATCTGCTAAATGAGTAAATGTAAATATGGACAGCGTAACTGATTATTGTGTTCTTTTGTCGCGTCGCGCCGCTCGTGTCCGGAGTAGAATTATCCTTTCCCAATAAAGCAAAGTTGTTTTGCGCCGAATACTTATCTTATCATACTTTATCATATTTTAGTACTTTAATTCATTACAGATATATTCTTCACTTTAACTGGTCTGTAGGAAAGGCAGGCTGTCACGTCACTGACAGAGAGCGGGGAGGACAGTTGCTCGACCTCTCCAGAATCTATACAGGTGAGATTTGTTGAAAGAAGAGAATTGTCTATTTTAAGGCAGTGTTGTTGTTTTATTTAATTGGGACTACTTGCCAATGTTTTAAGGAATTAAACATAATTTTTTTTTATTTTATGTTCAAATTGTTCAATAAAATTGGTTATATAGGTAAAAGCAATGTGTTCCAATAGTTTTTAAAGACACTTTTTTGTCCAACTGTTAAAAATTAGGATAAAAGTTATTGTTTAAGTGTAGTGTTACTGAAATATTTATAAAATATATTTCATAAAAATAAAGTATAGATACAGTGTACAGGTCTCAAAGTCCCAAGTCC